ACAAACCTCAAGATTCTTGTCAGGGTCATTTTTAAAAGATCATGGACATTCACCCTGCTATTATTACAGAGGACTCTGCACTAGATGATCTATTCATGAGCCTTCTTCCATCTTTTTCTCAGCTTCTATCTTTTTCCTCAGCTTCTGTAACTCTTTGTCTGCCCCCCCCCCCCCCCCCCCCCCCCCCCCCCCCATGGGGACATGATCTGTTATCATGAATCATTAGACAAGATCATGGTGGCAAGGTAGGCACAAGACAGGTCGGAGACAAGGTCATGATGTCAGCCTATTTCAACAGGACCAATGGTGGGGCGGGGCTGTAGTGGAACTGGAGATCAGCATCCTATAGTGTTACTATAGGAACTGGGATGAAATGGGATGCTAGGCTGTGGTGGTTTTACCCAGCTGGGCAGCTGAGCTCCACCACAACCATTCTCTCACTCCCTCTCCTCAGAGGGAAAGGGGGAGAATATACAATGTAAAGGGTCAAGGATTGAGATAAGGACAGGGAGATCACTCAAGTTATTGTAACAGGCAAAATAGATTCAGCATAGGGAGATTAACAAAATTTATTACCTATTATTAACAAGCTAGAGAAGTGAGAAATGACAAAAAAAAAAAAAAAAGACAAACCAAAAACACCTTCCCTCTCATCCACCCTCTTCTCCTTCCTCCCCATGAGCAGCACAAGGAAATGGGAGTTGCAGTCAGTCCCTGATGCTTCATCTCCGCTGCTGCCTCACAGCCCCTCTCTGCCCCTGCTCCACACGGGGTCCCTCCCACAGGATGCTGTCCTTCCCGAACTGAGCCCACGGGGCTACCCACAGGCAGCAGCTCTTCAAGAACTGCTCCCACATGGCTCATTACCACAGGGTCCATCCCCCAGGAGCAAACTGCTCCAGCACGGGTCCCCCATGGGCGGCAGCTCCCGCCAGCCCCCCTGCTCCTGTGTGGGCTCCTCTCCACGGGCTGCAGCTCCGGCCCGGGGCCTGCTCCTTCGGGGGCTCTCCATGGGCCGCAGCCTTCTCCAGGCCACATCCACCTGCTCCACCGGGGGCTCCTCCACGGGCTGCAGCATGGAGATCTGCTCCATGGGGGACCCATGGGCTGCAGGGGGACAGCCTGCTCCACCAGGGGCCGCAGGGGAACTTGTGCTGCATGCCTGGAGCACCTCCTGCCCTCCTGCTGCACTCACCTTGGGGGCTGCAGGGCTGCTTCTCACTCCTCCCTCTTCCAGCTGCTGTTGCACAGCAGTGTGTTTGTTTCCCTTCCTTAAATCTGCTCTCCCAGAGGCATGAACAATGCCACTTATTGCCTCAGCTCTGGCCAGCGGTGAGTCCCTTTGGAGATGGCTGAAACTGGCCCTTATCTAACGTGGGGCACCTTCTGGATTCTTCTCACAATCCACACCTGCAGCCTCCTGCTACCAAAACCTTGTTATTTAAACTCAGTACATGGTCCATGGTCAGGTTGGGGGAGTCCTCAGTGCAGATGTGTGACATATTATTTTTCTGTATCACTGTGAATATCTTGTGACAATCCACTTACTTGGGGATTTACTGGGTGAGCTGGGCCAGCATCAACCCTTTATTTTGGTTGTAAGAGGATGCAGCACAGGATGTGTCTGCCCTTTCTACCACATGCTGAAGAGCTACATCAGTCACTGTCCTACTAAACAGGGAGCTTAGCAAATGTGGAAGAGGGAATCTGGAGAATACTTTATTTCTAAAGGTTATGTGTCTAGTCTGAGCAGATGTTTTAGGCTTCTTTTTTAGTTAACAGACAGAGAAAGACAAGGCACATATAAATGTATTTAAATGTAAGTCTTGTGGTAAATATCCATAACTTTAAAGACACAGTACCACACTAGCAAATTTGCTACAAGAATCAGACATTGGAAAACCTTCATTTACTAAATCTGTCAAAATACCAAAGAGAACAACTTTAAAAAATTCTCACTGTCTAGTTCAAATGGATTTTAACACAACTTTTAAACCAATATCATGAAGACTTACAAGTAGAGTCTCTAAGTTTACTAAAACACTATTTCTGGAAACTTGCATCTAGTGGGGCACAGTCATCAAATTGTATCTGAATTGTTACAATAGTTGAACAATAAATGAATACTGAATTTCCAAAAACCTTGACCAATTTTGGCATCACAGGATTTAGTCACTCACCCATTATCTGGTATTGACTCCCCTCACACCAGTTTTTAATCTCAGTCCTGCAAGGGTGTGGGTTTAATCAACATTGCCCACTCACATAACGGCCTGAGAGTGAATTTTTTGGACAGGAAACATTTTTGTACAGCATTTTAAAAGATTAAAAGAAAGTCATAAGATCCTGCTGATGTAACCACATAGGTAGCCCATATACAAGGAGGCTATGACGCTCCTTTAATAGACTTTACCTACAGGGGTGAGTTTATCACATGAGGTAGGAATAAGGGAAAAAGAAGGCATGTGTATGTGGGCTAGATGTGGGCCATACTTCCGTTAATAATAAAACCAGGGAAGAAATTGGTTGCTTAGATTAAATAGTGTCATTTCAGGTACAGCGTGGTGTCCTGTTTGATCTCCAGATGAGTGTAAGTGTACAAAAATCTGAATCATATCTCCAGGACAGTGTAGATGTTTTGGATGTCCCAACAGCATTTGATAACTATGTTTATAAAATCCAACCCCAGATTAATAGTTAATGATGTTTAGACAACTCTGTAGTTGGCCAAATATAGGTGCTCACTTCAGGGAGACCTGTGCAGCTCAAGGATTTCACTAACTGTACTGCTAATACTGTCACTGGCTTAGACATCCAATCTTAGTTTATATCAAACAGCTTTAAATGATACACTTGAGTAATCTCCATTCTCTACACCCCTCTCATATAGTGACAGAGCTGCCTATGATCCCACGATAGATTTTATGTACCCTCATACATACTCTAGTACCATATATTCGTATGTTGCAGGCTCCAGTTCCTCAGTTCAGCCTTTTTCTGAACATAATCAGACTTCCTGTTTTGTTGTTGTTGTTCTTGTTTTTTATTTAATTGGTTTGGTTTGGTTTAATATCTTCTACTATGTCTTCTACTACTGAACCATTCTGAAAATCCAACTGTGTATACAATATGCAACCTTGGGAAAGGTCAGCATTCAGGAGAGTAAAAAAAAAAAAGACTAAAAGTTAACAAACTACTACTACTACTCTTAGTACTCTTAGTAAGAAGTTTCAATCACCTAATCAACTTGACTCTGCTGCACCATGCAACATCGAGAGAAACAGATGAAACAATTGTTTTTAATCTTTCTATGAGTTTGTGTAGTTTAGAAATGGATTTTAAAATATGTAGAGTGTTAAACTATGTGAAAGATAACAGAATTAGAGGAAGAGAAAACAGCTTTTCCTAGCTGATATACTAAATGATATATTGCACATGTCCCTTGGTAATCATATAAATCTCACTTGGGAGAGGGTACACCTCAGATCCTCAGCTAGTTAGGCTAGCTGTGAACAGTGCTTCAGCGTGCTTCAGCATGCTTCATGGCTGTTCTGGCTGTGCACTTCCAGACAGTGCAGTAGCATGCCCAGCACACACCATGAACCACTAGATGGCAGTGCCTTCACACAAATGGCACAACACTTCTAGGCATCCTTTGTGACAACGCCTTCAAAGGCGTGGAATGGAGCAGTACGTATCCATAACACATTCCTTTTCCTGCATACACCATCATGTTCTTACATGTGCCATGAAGCAGCCTTCTCAGTGCCCACACAAAATCTTTGTCCAAGAAACTTTTGTTCTCCCCAGGGTTATTAACTTCATCATCATGTTGTTCCAAGTGTGCCCTTTATACAAATTACGCAAATAATGTTTTTATACGGGCAGAATAACTTTATAAAGCCCTCAATTCCAGCTTATGGCTTACACATCTTGATTAAAAATGATAGAAAAGTATAAGACTTGGAAAAGTCAAAAGCATAAGGAGGGATGCAGGGACATTCTGGACAAGGCCCAGGCAGAACAGGTGCCTGGCATATTGCTAAGGTTGCTGGAGAACATTTGAGGTATTTTGTTGGATCACTGTGGGGTGGGATGTGAGGGTGTCTGGAAAGAGGCTAAGGCAGGAGTGGTTATCCAAGGAGTTAATGCAATCTCAGTGTGAATGGTGACTGTAGATGGGCACAAAACAGTTTTTGAAGTCTGACAAGAACAGTGTCATTACTGCATATTTTGAATTTTCTGCTGCTGAACACTGGATGAGTGATGAAAAGATCCTTCTTGATGTACCTACTACTGCTCTTTGTCATAATTTCTCCTTTCCTTAGATCCTTAGTTCAGTAAAGAAGCTTCCCAGTAAGAAAATCAAAGGACATGGAGTGAGATAGGTGGCCTTAAAGTCAAATTTGGGCCATCCTGGGAGCACAGATGGGAAGTGGGAATTGCTGTGTAACACAAGACGGCTGATATATACACCAAATAAACCATGAAGAAAGGTGTAAGAGAAAATATGGTAGTATGTTCAAAACATAAAGCCTCAGGCCAGTCTTTTGTTTGTTTTTGTCTGTTTGTTTAGGAAACATTCTCAGGTCAGACAAAAGCAGGATCACTCCAATTTGTTCCCTTCAAAGACAAATGAAAGGAAATTATATGTCAATTCCTTCATATATTATATAACTCAACACTGTTTAATTATTTCCTCAAGAAAACATTTATAAGTAGCCAAATATCTGAATAAATGATCTTTTCTCCTAAATTTATAGAAGCAGGTTACTACAAAGCTTTGTCTTGGTGATGGTGTCTTGAAAGAGAAGTGAGGCATCAACTCAAGCCACAGGTTAAAGTTCCTATAATGTAAATCTCCTCTTGGGTAAAGAGATCATAATCATACATATGCATTGGCTTCAAAACTGTATCCATAACAAACACAATTATAAGACTGTCATTTTTTGATAAAGTCTCGAAGGAAACATCCAAACTGACATAAAACATTTAAAAAATTACAAACACAACAGTTTTAATTATCACTTACATTTTATAGATGTACGTCATACATATGTGTTCAAATCACTATGCTAGGCAACGCACAACACAGGAGCAATGATTATTTTTACAAGGAAAACCAATAAGGTGGTCAGAACAGACAAGATAACACCTTTGTATAGAGCATGTGATTCATTGGGACAAATGGAGTAAACGGCTAATTAATAAAGGAGTGGTCTAACTTATGTGTATAGAAACATGGACAATACATCTCTGTTGTAATAATACATGTAAGGCTAGAGATGATGCACCTAAAATCAACAAAGAGGTTCCCACAAAGTCAATATCACCTTGCTTAAATAATTAATCAAGAGTTCAACAAAATCAGGGACAGAGCTCTACTTTTTAAAGCTAAACTGATATTCCAGTTCATAGAAATTCCAGGGTGTACTTGAATGGCTGCAGTCTCTAGAAGTGCTTTCAAGTCTGGATGCAGGTCCTTCTGGGAATGGTCCCATCTTGAAATGAACTGCAGCTATGTTTCATGTACCTTGTGTAAACACGCTGCTTTTTGGAGAGTTTGATGTAGAGGCCAATTCAATCCCAAAGAGGAAGGCCACCCAAAGAAGTGATGTAAGTACAGGATTGGTTTGCTCTTTTTTACCAGACCATACTCTGTTTCGCTTCTGACCTCTAGCACATTCTTCAGTGAAGTGATAATGAGCTGAGAAATGGTGGGCAGGACTGAAATCAACACAACAATGACAGAGTTCATCCTCAGAGAGAGGTCACCAAAAATCACAGAAGCACAGTACCACAGTGGATTTAATTGGAGGATCCAGCTAACCTTCAAGGATATTGCAATAGAAGTTCTGTTCCAGCTACACAAGGACCAGTGTCTGGTCACTAAGAAGACTCAGTTTGTAAATTATTCTGAGCTTAAGAAAGCCCAGCTGGGATATTGCATTGTGTTTGCTGTATGTTCCTCCTTTGTACATGCATAATCTTCCTAAGGCTCAGCTACTACATGTTTTCCCATGGATAAGAAAATGTCATCTTAAGTCCTCAGGCCTGACTTAGTATCTCCATTGTACAGGCATGAAAAAAAAAAGCAAACAAAATCACCAATCAAATAAACAACAACAGACGCAACAACAACAAAATCAAACAAAAAACAAGTAGATAATGTAACTCAAGTCATTTTTGCATCACTCATGTGATACCTTGAGATTCCTTTCAAAGGAGCTTACTGCTCCTTAGACAGGTGCTTAGCACTTCCCAGTGCATAATTCCATCAAGTTAGTTGAAATTGCCTCAAAACAGTTAGTAAAAAATCACTAATTATTATCACAAGCTTTTGCCACTCTGTAATCTTTCAAATGAAGATTAATTATAGTGCTCTTCCAAACTGAAATTTCAGGAAACACTGACAAAGATGTGACAAACATGATGGACCTGGGAAAAATGAATGTAGTTCCTTTGATATGAGTGCTAACCTTTTGATGCACAAGTCCTCACGATCTGTCATTTCACAACAATAACAATGAAAAAAAACAATGGATTTTGTGTGGTTGAGGAGAGAAAGAGCCAGAGTTGTGATACTGTGATACTAATCTGTACCAGTTGAGAAAAGCAGCTTGTGTTCAGGACAAGAAGTTCTCAGAAGTCTGTTGACACTACGGAAAGCCATAAAGAATCCCAACTGTCTATATTTTAGGTAGTATGCTACGAGGTTACAGCAACTCAGCCTGATAGATAAACTCAGACAGAAGTTACACCATTCTGGTACGCAGATGTTTTCCTTTTCGGACTGATTTTTTCAAGCAATGATAACTGAGTAACATAATTGACTGGACTGTTTTCTCTGGACATTGTACCATGTTTGTGTGTGAAGCTCAGGTACTCTTGATACTGCCATTTGCACAGTTGTTTCTTGAGTTCACTTTGAACCTACGGAAAAGGAATTATAAAAACAATCAGAAAATAAAAACTTTTTTGTTGGAGATAAAATGACCTTTCATAGGTCATTGAAGATAAAATATGCCAAAATTTCTGTGTGACTGCTAGGCCCATATACACCCAAACCAATAAAGATTAAGCCTTAACGCATTTTTAGGTGGACTTAAATCATACACCCATTCACACTAAAATAAATAAATAAATAAACAAACTATTACCAAAATCCAGAGGATGACAAGGAAGTTAGCAATTGTAGTTTCTTTATTTATTGTTGTATTTCTACCACATAAATATTTCCACCTTTTTTTTTTTATTACAGATATTTTTCCTCATACCAAATCTGTGCCTTCCTGCTTTGACCTGCAGTGTAAAATACGACCGCACAAGGTCCTTCTCCAGGTTTTCAGTTTATCCATATTGAAATCCCTCTTACAGATCTCTTACTGATTTTGGAAGATACTGAACCAACTTAAATATATATTACATTACATTACACTATTTATACAGGGAAATCCAGATAAATCTCATTCTTTCTGTGGGAAGCTGCTTTTAAAATGATAAAGCTCTGTAAAACATACTCTAGGGATTGTATCTAAATACAAATATTCTAAGAACGTGGCAAAAAGAGAAAAGAAAGTGCTTGAGCAAAACTGCAGAATTCATATAGGATGTGCTGGAGAAGAAAGAGAAAGGGAAAGGGAAAGGGAAAGGGAAAGGGAAAGGGAAAGGGAAAGGGAAAGGGAAAGGGAAAGGGAAAGGGAAAGGGAAAGGGAAAGGGAAAGGGAAAGGGAAAGGGAAAGGGAAAGGGAAAGGGAAAGGGAAAGGGAAGGGAAAGGGAAAGGGAAAGGGAAAGGGAAAGGGAAAACACACCAGGATAAAAAAAAAAAAAAAACAAAACTAAAGTACAATGTTACAAGGTTTCCACTGAGACATCATCATGATAGCTATCAGACAAAGCAGAAAAAATGTCCCCTGACAGAAAAGTCACCAACCATTTGTAAAGGGTCACTGCTTCAAAGCTTATTCTGTATCCTTCTGTCAGAATTATATGAATACAAATAAAGTCAACAAAGGTACCAAGGGAAAAAGAGATAGGGGTATTTCATGTGTTCAGGAATAGATCAAAGCACAGATCAGTTCTGGAAACAGGAAAAATAAAAAACGAGAGAGGTCCATGAGTTTCAAAGGTTTTGATAATTTTATATACTTGCTACTCACCTCTGCATTTGAGAAACAATATAGAAGTGCAACAACAAAACCCTAGGACAGGGAGAATAGAGAAGGGAAAAAATCAGCCATCAGGATTTGAAGCATAGAAACAGGAGGAAAAAAAAAAATCATCTTTCATTCAAACTTCAAGTAAGACAGCAAAAATATTTTTCCATTGTTCCATTGGGATTTATGTAATGTGGAACTATTTAATGGGTTTTCAAATTTGGATTCAATGTCTCAGTGGACTGGTGACACTACATATACATCATTGACTTTTTATGGAGGCACTAAGGACTAAATCGCAGTTCACTGTATCCTACAAACAAATTCTTCCCCAGATAAGGTAGTAGGGACCTTCACCTTGTTCAAGGCTATATTTTCACTAGTAAATAAAGTTGGTGAGGACCTGTTCTTGGTTTGCATGTTTTCTTCTAAATTACCTTCTTTCACTCACAAGAGGATGTCTGTGTCGAAAGAACCTATTGGGAATGGTCTTGGGTTCATATTCAGCCAGACCTGCAGTCAGAGCTCTTTTGGGTGAGTGTTAGTCAGCCCACACCCAAACCTTTTCATAGACTGTGCTAACACAGGCAGATACTAGACAGTGATAAACTACATCTTCATATATAAACTGCATGAAGCACAGCCCTGAGCACTGACCCTTGCTTCTCCACCTGTTTAAAATGGTAACATGGTCCAATGCACTGTAAAATGGTAACATGGTCCAAAATTTGGCTTAGGCCAAAAGTGGTGGGGTACAGAGGAAAGAGGAAGGAAAAAAACCTCAGGTATTTACCAGTCCCTGGCATTCCAAAGCCAGGATATCATTCTGGACAGTGTTATAGCAAATAAAAGAAGCACAGAAGTGTTAAGATGATGGATTTACTACTGCTGAAGTGTAAGGGCAGAACAGGTTACTATATATTATCATTATTTTTTCATTTCTCATATCATCACCTTTATTACTTGTGGAATTAAGTTTCAATCAGATCTTCTTAATCCATAGCCTGATCTTCATGGCACTCAGTCATTGTTATTCAAAAAATGTAGATGTGCTTTTTTGTGATTATTAATATGAAGTCTGAGTCAGAACTCAAGACTAGCACTGGATTTTAAATAATAAGATAGTGGAACAACAGAGAGAGCTTGCACTGGAGTAAAATAGAATGTGTGTGTTGAATTTAGACACATTATTAACATCTGCTGTAATAACCAAACAAAAATGTAAAATTCCCAAGAGTGAAGTGTTCCAGCCCAAACTTCCTAGGACTCAAACTTTTTGTTCAGCTTACCTGAAAGGATCCCAAGCCTAGCTCAATATAAAGGCGAGCTTCCAGACCAGTGCTTTCTGGGAAAAATGCAAATACAATATAGTGCACTCCAAAGAGTGGGATCAAGAGTAATGTGGATTTAGCAAGCCTCCTGGAAAACCAATAATTAAAGAACAAGGTACTGTTAGAATTACAAAGTTAGTGATGACAGTTATGTGTTGGAACAAATTTTACTATGGAGGACAAGTCCAGAATGGAGGCAACTACATCCAATGAAGTTACAGAAATATTACTTTCTGCCACTCTCACTGTCAACACCTGGTCAGCAAAGATGAATCAGCATGCAAGTTTTCCAGACTGACCTTTAAGGGTCTTCTCCCTGCTATGTATGCAAAGGCTGAGGCACCAAATTGCCTCCTGAGACCAATCTCAATCAAACAAAAGTGTGGGATACAAAGACAGGTTTACTTTGTTATTTCTTCTGGGGACATCTCTCTATGTATAGTAACCAATGGAACATTTTGTGGTGCTGTCTGTAAAGCAATTTCTTAGAACAAGTAACATTGGTCAACTTCAAAAGACCCTGCAATACTTACACAAAGTGGCTTGAATGGCTCCCTCCTCCGTCCTGAGATTTCAATTTGTGAACTAGAATTCTGATCACATTAATAAATATAATAAAGTTAATCTGTAAAGAAAAAACAGAATCTGTAAATTTATTACAAATCAGGAAGCATCTTCAGTTGATACAAACGAAGTAAGAATCTCCCATAACAGTAATTGCACTGATATAAACCAGTGAAGATTTGCTCTCAGATCAAATAAGTATCATTAGAAATATTCGTTTTTCCCACCAATATATTATTATATGTAAAGATATGCTCAGAGTTTTGCTGAGTGAATTTAGTCCTGCATATCTGATTGTCATTATATGTCTGATATTATCTCATTGTACTCACTGTCAACACACAGATGATCTTCTGTGGTTTAAATAGTCCCTCCAGTTCCCTTCATCGTTAATAATAGGGATTATAACAGACACAGTCATAAATGGCATATTCTTTACTTTCTGAATTTAGATAGAATGAGTCTGTGTATAACGGAATTTTTGTCTTAAGTTTACATCCTAGCAACTCATTGTAAAAATATACTAGATAAAATGACTTAGATATATTTCTTGATTTAAGTTAGCTTCATATTATCTAGGAGTTCTTGCCAGTATGGTTTGCCTTTCTTCAGAAACGAATTACAGAGGCACAGATAAGAACATAGTATATAGAATGTCTGTGGAAAAGTGATTCTATAATGTCCTAGTGTGACTCTTGAAAATTTACCCCTTAGACTGTGATTTAGAGTTTTTTTTGGGAGAAAAAAATAAAAAAATGTTACATACTATACAATAATTTTCACCTATTTGAAATTCAAAAGAAATCAAACATAGCATGTGTTACTGTGCTTTTTTTTTCCACCTTACTGAAAGAAAGCACTAGAAAATATGAAATATGAAATACTAGAAATATGTCAGATTTCAAAAGATGCTCAAGAAAAAAAATGCAAATCATACTAATACGGTTAGCAGAATGGGGCCTTTGATGATCCATAACACTACTCCATTTTCATCGTCATCCCAACATCTGAAACAGCAAACAAAAACAGTAATATTATCTATACCATGTGAGCTTTTCCAGACTGTTTCTGTCACTGAATAGGGAGGTGACAGACATTTTGAAATGGCTATTCAAAGGCTTCTGCTTCTACTTCTTCCCCAATATCTCCCCCAGAAATTCTGTACAGCCCGATTTAAAGGAATTTTATTCGGTAAGAGCCAAGGGCTAAAGAACTAAAGTGAAGTCAAAAAATACACATATTTTCAGGCTTCTTTCCTACTCTCTTGTTGAAAAAAAAAAGTTTTACAGAGTACAAATTAGGCAGTAAACTGCTATACCTCCAGGAATATAGGAATATAAGGATTTTGGTGTCATAAGGGAAGCAGATATATGTAAGAAAAATCTAGACCTCTATCAAAGGTACCCTGAAGGCAGAGAGCAAAATAGGATTTTGGTCTTTGTTGGGAGGCTGTTAATGTAATTAGCATGAATAACATTTAATTTTTTCCTCCCTTCAGTCAAGTTCCATATATGCTAGTATTTCTCATTCTCCATTTTCCTTTATTTTCTCTTCCAGTTTTGTCACACAAAACACTTGGCTGCATATCTGAGTATAAGATGTTTCTTTGCAACATGAGTTCAGACCCGCTGTGTCTGAAGGACATGGGTTTCTTTCTTAGATATTAGGCAAAAAAGAGAGTGGTTCTGATACTGTGGTTTGTTTATATATCTATTATCAAAGGAGCAACCAAATGAATGTAGATATCTGCAATGAGATACATTTGACTTTTTAAATGTCTTCATTGGTGCTATTCCACTACAGTTCTTTTGCAAAGATGATCAGTGCAACAGGATGTGATTCACCTTACCTTAAAGTAGGCACCTAAAGTATATCAGACAAGCAAATTGAGTGAGTAGACCTTTTGCTGGAAGAGCATCCAAAGTTCAAATGCTGTTCAGCCTTCAGCCCCCTCTTTAACCCTGTGAGAACTTGTCAGAGTGCTCATTCATCCATCTTTCCCTGAACTTTCTTTGTAACTGGAGTATCTTGTGCTGGTTTCTTCTGCTATAGATTCAAGAAATAAACCCAATACTCTGGCCATTCTGGCATCTGCGCTGGGATTATTATTTTTCAGCCTAAATTATTTATACATTTCACCTGAGCCTATACATGTATATATACATGTATGTTTACTTAATGAATATTCTGCTTGCAGAGAAGTACTATTATATATCACTTTTATTTCCTGACTGATATCCATGTCTCTAAATTGGTGAGACCTGGATTTGACAGATGGACTACTTGGTGGGTAAGGAATTCTCTGGAAAGTCATACTCAAAGAGTTATAGTCAACAGCCCAATACCCTAGCGGATATTAGTAATAAGTGGTGTTCCTGTGGGGTTGCTACTGGGATCAGCGTTGTTTAACATCTTTGTAGGTGACATGGACATTGGGATCAAGTGCACCCTCAGCAAGTTTGATGATGACACCAAGCTGTATGGTGTGCTCAACACATTGAAGGGAAGGGATGCCACCTAGAGGGACCTGGACAGGCTTGAGAGGTGGGTTTGTGCAAACCTCATGAGGTTCAACAAGGTAAAGCACAAGGTCAAGGACATGGGCCAGGGCGATCCCAAGCACAAATACAAGCTGAGCAGAGAATGGATTGAGAGCACACCTGATGAGAAAGACATGGGGGTGTTGATGAATGGGAAACTCATCATGAGCTGGCAAGGTGCACTTGCAGAAAGCCAACCATATCCTGAGCTGCATCAAAAGCAGCATGGCCAGCAGGGTGAGGGAGGAGATTTTCCCCCTCTGCTCTGCTCCCATGAGACCCTACCTGGAGCCCTGCACCCAGCTCTGGGGCCCCCAACACAAGAAGGACAGGGAGCTGTTAGAGCAAGTCCAGAGGAGGTCATGAGGATACTCAGATGCTGGAGCATCTCTGCTGTGGAGACAGGCTGAGGGAGTTGGCGTTGTTCAGCCTGGAGAAGAAAAGGCTTCAGGAGACCTCATAGTAGCCATTCAGTACATAAAGTGCAGGAAAGCTGGAGAGGGACTCTGTCAGGAAGTGTAGTGACTAAGTAAGCAGTAACAGCTTTAAACTAAAAGAGTGTATATTAGATATAAGGAAGATTTTATTTTTTTTTACTGAGAGGGAGGTGAGGCACTGGCACAGGTTGCCCAGAAAAGCCACAGATGCCCCATCCCTGAACGTGTTCAAAGCCAAGCTGGATGGGGCTTTGGTCAACCTAGTGTGGTGGGAGGTGTCCCTACCCATGACATGGGGTTTGGAATCAGATAATCTTTAAGATTAGATCATCTACCCCAAAGTGTTCTATGATTCTTTGGAAAAGCAGGAGCTTTGGAGCAGCAGGAAAGGAGGAGAAATGAAATCCTTCTTGCACCTTTTCTGGCCACAAAAAAAAAAAAAAAAGAAAAAAAAGTACATGCTTTGGAAAGGTAGACTACTTCCACTTATGAAACACTGCAGTGGAGAACATGTACTACAGATATACTGCAGTAATACAAAAAGAGGAAAATAGGATGTACCAATGTGGTAGACTATAATACTTATTATTTCTACACAATTTAAGTGAGTCCTGAGGAGGTAGGTATAAAATAACATCTTTTCCAACTTATCATCCATGTGTAATAACCTGAAGGCTTTCAGGGCAACCCTTAGTAAACAATCTTCTGCTTTATAACTGACTCTCATACTGAAAGATAAAGAATAATTATAATTATATATATATATATAAAGATTCAAATAAAGGGATGAAAATAACACATGAAACTACCTATCAAGACATAACAATGTGTTTGTTTTCAAGGTACAGGTGTGAAAAGACTAGAGCTAGATATAAATGGCTGTTTTTAAACATAAGTATTGGTTTTCTTAAAAAAAAAAAAAAAAAATCAAGAATTGGGGATTAGAAAACTAGTGAAATTTTAATTCTTACTATGACATTTCCAAATTTTATTACTCAGTATATGTGCAACAAAATCATAAGACTGAAAATTATTTTCTCACTTATTTTTTTATGAAGTTTTATGGTTGGAGGCATGACTTTGGAACAATATTTTTGTTTTAAATTTATATTTTTTCCCTGTTAATAAATCAAAATATAATATAAAATAGGATGACATTGGCTTCCTTACCCAAGCTCTGACTTACCCAGTATTCTGTTGGTGTATTCTTGTGAGGACCCAAGTAAACATCACAGCAGTGGGAGCTCCTGGACAGATCAACGTAGAAAACAATATAATTTTTTTAATGCCGTGTCCCATGGAAACTTTATTGCAAGAAGTTTCACAGTACAGCAGATTGGATGCACATTAAATTTCAGACAATGGGACAGACAATCTTGAATTGACTTTATGGAAGAACTTAACTCTCAGTTCAGAGGGAAGGAAAAAAAAAAGAATAGGAGAATGAAATAAAAATGAAAAAGAATAGAAGAATAGGGGATGCTGTGAAACAATGTTTTCAAAAATATGAGCTAGGATTACTTGTAGGTTTGGATATAAATTAAGAGCAGATGTGCAGCTGAAAGAATCATTTATTGAGCTACAGCTATTTTGTCTTTTGAATTGCGGTCAGAACACAATACTTTGTACACTAGCTGGAAGAATTTATCTTTTCCTTCCTTCCTTCCTTCCTTCCTTCCTTCCTTCCTTCCTTCCTTCCTTCCTTCCTTCCTTCCTTCCTTCCTTCCTTCTTCTTTTTTTTTTTATCTTTTCTTGACAAGCTTCTACCAATCATTGTAAAACAGTCAACTTGAAAGCATTCCATGAAAAATTGTGCTAATAGACTATTAGCTAAGATTAGCTAAGATTTATAATTTCTTTCCAATCTTTGCTATTGATTCTGCATTTGTGAGTGAATAACTATTTACATTTTATTATTATTATTATTATTGTTTTTGTTATTAATAATTAATTAATTAATTTATTTATTTCCTTTGTAACAGGTCTTTAAACTAGCAATTTCTTTTGCTTTCCATCAGTGGGTTTCCAAAGACTAAGTGCCTTTCAAATATGCCACAAAAGAGACTCTAATTAGAACAAAGTGACATTCACACTGATAAATCAAATTAAATATAGATACTGTCTATTTAAGTATCATATAAGATCTGTAGAAAAAGCCCAGAAATTGTTATTCCTAACTTTTGCTCAAAGCTTTTATAATGGGATAATATTCAGTTTAAGTTGACTTTTTAATTAATGAAAGGAAAAAATTATATCCATATTACCTATGATCTGAGTTGCCCCTGAGATGTCTCTCACTTTTGACATTTTATATGACACGAGTATTACTACAATATCAATTGAGGTGTTTCTGTTCTTATCTCAAAATAGCTGTGATGAATCAAGACCTAAGTGTTTATTTTCTGGCAATCATAATTGAAATAGCTCCAAATTGGCATCCCCTTTATAAAATTCAGATTTAAAAAATTTTAGTTACATAAATCAAGTTTAAGAATCTGAAGATGGAGGCAAAAATGCTATCTACTTTAGAAGAATGTGGATTTTACTTATAATCCAAAAGTGTTATATAACCACTCAATTTAAACACCTCAATTTTAGAATAGCCAAGGTGAAATACAAGAATATCTGAGAGTCACAATAGACAATTCTCTGCAGTGAAAGAAAATGTGTGCTTTTTTTGTGCCATATTCTGATAATGGGAGATATTTTTAATTGTTGTATAAACTCAAAAGATTCCTTAAAGACAGCAAATGTCTTTGGAAAAATAAATAAATAGAATTTTTGATTCCTAGACCTGAACTCATGCGATCTCAGATATCTATTTCTGCCTACCAAAAGCAAAATGTCAATTTAAAGTTAGTCACTCAAATTTCTTTAGTCAGTGGATGAAGACAAGATGTTTTCAGGATGTTATCCAGGCACATTAGTCATCTGTTTGAAGACTGGATTAATCACTACCACAGCATGACTGCCTCATTCTACTGCTGCAGGAAAAACCTGGAGAGATAGTTTAGATTAGATGATTAACTTTTAAATGACAGTAGTTGCATGAAATTAATTCCAGTCATAAACAGGAGTGCTGTAGTCTTTCGAGTAGGTATATCCAAGTACTTCTAATATTCTGTTCTACCCTCTCCTTCAAAGTTTTAAGTGGTGAAAAATCTACCAAGATAAGAGGAAAGGCAGAATAATGATATGGTTTTGATGTAGTACTACTGCATGAAAAGGCACCTTTCATCAAAGGAAATTATCAAAGGAAATTTCAGAATATTTTGTTTAGTTCTAAAAGTAAATGGAAATACTAAACAACACAGAGTGGAAAAGAGTACTAACCCCAGCCAGCAAATATGAACCACCATACATATTGCTTGTCTGAAACAAAGGTCAGCAAAAGCAGTGTTTGTAGGTATATCCCTTCTATAAGAAGCCAGAAGAAATTGGCTAAAATACTGAACTGGAAGAATGCTACAGCAGCTTTACAAGCAACCTGGAAATGCAGAGGAATAAAAAAAAAAAAAAAAAAAAAAAACTTATTAGGTCTATTCTCCATTGGGTTTGGATTCTCTACAAGTATAAGGAAAAAATCAAATTTGCCAGACAAAAATGAGGAAATTAATACAAGGTTTCAGCAAATATGGGATTCCATCATTTCAGTTAACTTTCTGTGTTTTGAAAAGAAAACATTGGGCCTCTTTTATAGAATTTGTGATAGAAATTGATACAGCTCCATTAGGGTCAACAAGGCTGTACCTTATACACCAATTCTGGATGTAATGTAACCCATAGCACTTGATCTTTTTGTTTGTAAGGTACTGATTGCTTTAAAATTTCAATTCTTGCAAACTAAAGAGAAATTGGATTAAGAAATCTACATGTTCTCTTCAGGTCATGAATTAAGTATTAACTCAATGAAAGACAGTAGGGAAGTTTAGTACCGTTGACATTAGGCAGTGGTCCATAGTTTCATCTGCAAACAAAACAGCATCTTTGGTGAAAACAGCAATTGCTCTCAGGATAAAGGAGACAAACAGGTGCATATGGATGTAATTCCGTGTACAGTGGAATTTTCTGACATAGAAAAAGAAAAGGAAAATGTTTTTTCAAGAGAAATTTCTCATCTGAACTCAGACAGGAATGCAGGGTGACTTCAGACACTTTCCAAGGCAAATAATCTGTCATCTGAGAGGCAGCTAGGCAAACAGGATCACAGCAGTTATTATTTGTTTGCTCTACTAAAAGTGTTAGCTTAATTGTCCTTGAATTGCCACACATTTAAAGGAGATACCAGGAGCAGAGAATAACTCCGGGACTCTTGGGCTATACAGCAATAGTGTCTTTTAATTATCCTAAATAGCATCTTTTTTTTTTTTTTTTTTTTTTTTTTTTTTTTTTTTTTTTTTTTTTAAACAAGGCTGCAACAGGCTCTCCAGCTCCTTTCTTGCTGGAGGAGAACAGAGAGGATTGAACAGGTGTCAGCTGCCTGTTGTGGGATTACTAACAGAGAAGCAGCTGTCTTACTCCAGGCTGCATTTCCCTAGATTGTCCTGTCCATGGTTCCATGGTTTGGCCTTGAGATGAAGGAATCTCCTTCAAGGTTTGGACATATCAGCCTCCTGGTCCTGGGTCCTTCTATAGGAGATATGACCTTTGAGACTGTCAGTTTACACCACCTAGGAAGTTGCTTCTGTGGTCTGCACTCCTGCCTGGAAAGTAGGCTTAACATTTTTGTTCAGGTTCATTGGAGCCAGTCTAAACCAGGATCTATTTCCTAATATCCGACAGTATCAAGCATGACATTTAATTTCTTTAAACCTCTTTCCATTGTTCCTTATTATGTCTTTCACAGAGGGAATGAACAATTTAGAATGACTACAGGTTCAGGGCATGAGACATACTCACTTTCTGCAGAGTATGTCCTGCTATGTACTGGAGGAATAGTTATCTTATGTTAATAGCAATAACAGCTTGAAGCATTAATACTGTATGGTGCAGTTATAGAGAATAGGACAGACTGTCCAGTCAGCTTTATTGTTTTAGTGTCTGCAGGGAAATGTCACAACATGAATAAAAGAACACATTTCCATTGATAGTATAATGCCTGAGAAAGGTTTGAAAATAGTTAAAAAACAAAAACAAAAACACAGGTTTGAAAGGAATTAGGATAAGGCTGTCTTGAGACATCCTGAAAAGAGACTTTTTTTTTTTTTTTTACCTGAAGGCAGCAAAGACAATTAGAGCTGTAATGAGTGAAGTCACTGATGCTGCATAGCCAGCAGTGTAGACACGCCAAAATGCAGAATAATACGATTTCTATGAGAAAAAGAGAACAAAGACCAATGCTGGTGGTTATGCAGCATGCATGCTGGTGTGCTCATTTCACTAAGCTACAGTTTCCCTTAGCAGACATTCCCATCCCCTCCATGCTGCTTTAGGTGCTAAAGATCTGATTCAGGTTTTCCCTCCATCACTAACATGTCTTTTTTCTTTTGAACCCTTCAAAACCTTATGCATGTGACAGGTTTCACAGCCCACCAACTCATCTGAAATAGTGACAATAAAATAGTTTGAGCGTGCTTAACAGGAAGGTGTTAACTTTGTTATATAACTATGATTCCTCTTCTAGGTACATATGGACGCTAGGGCACTGAAACCTGCTGATGGGTGATTTGTGAATCAGTAACTTTAGACCAGGGCCAGATTGTACTCCATTAAGGTCAAAAGATGTTTTCTGCTGATTCGAGAATTGTTGGTTTTCATAAACAGCTATAGTTAAATAATAAATAAAACTTGCATTTTGCAGGAGAGGAAAGCAAAATTCTGTGAAAAAGTCACATGGCATCATGGAAGTAAGAACGTTAAAGCCACAAAAATAACCTCACAGACATTAATTCCTTGGACAAGCATTTCATTCACTGGCCTTACAGCTGTAACACTGTAAATTCTTTGTAGCTTATTTGTTTGTTTGCTTTGCATTCAAATAGTCTATTTCCAAAGAAAAATAAAACAATTTTATTTGGCTTTAGCTATACACATTTTATTCTGATTCACTACAGGACCACCTAACTATTCAAAATCCCATGAAACTAAATTCTCTGAATTTAGTTTCAGATTTCCTCCTTGCAAATGCAGTGGAGACTTTGTTCTCTAATTGATTCAAACTGCATTTATCTAAAAGGCAGCATATCTAGGTTGAGACAATATATTAACATTTTTAAGTAGATCCATAAATAAATCAGTAACCCTGACAATTTAGGAATCACCCTTATGTTTTTGAAATACTGCTAATCTTTTATATGATATTTTCAAAACAAAGGTGCAAATTGAAAAATAGATCCTTCAGATGAATAAGGAAGTATTTGGATATGTTATCTATTTTTATAGCATATCTGAAAAAACAATACTCTATGCAAAAAACACATGAGGTTCTCATTGAGGATACAAAATATGAAACAAGTAGTCCTCTTAGATTGCAAGTGGGATTCTTCTCACCAACTTCCCTCTGTTTACAATGCAGTAGAGCTAATTGATCTTATCTTCCCTTCATAAACCTTGTGGTTATGACTGAGATAACAAATTAAACACAGGCACAGCATGAATGTGAAATCTTTGCTAATGTTAAAATATAAATATAGCCCCTTTCCTCTTATCAGCTTAGGCCAACTACAGACTCTCCATGTGCATGATTTACTGCTCAGTACAAACCTGGGGCTTCTTGGAAAAATCCACTCTGGTTTGAAGATTAAGAGAGTTTAGTTCTGTGTGTGAGAACCATGCCATTGTACAAATATTTTTAGTTTACAGTTGGGGAATTTTGCTCCAGATTTCTATTCCCTTTTATAATACAAATTTGTATTTGTATTGCCTATTACAAATATGCTTGTGTTTCCAAATTCATGAAGCCATATGAAACCAATTGCGTCAACACTTCCTAAAGATTCAGATACTTGAACTAGTACTTCTGTGCTTGACCTTTCCCCTCCTGGAGAGCCAAATGACTTACTCAACAGCCAGAGTGTTAGTGAAGACAATCCTCTTCAGCTTTTTGTGTCTTGGTCAGTGACCAATAACCTTTTCCACTGTGAAGTCCCAATTCTGAACACTCACAAGAAATTATATGAGTTAGTCTTTTATTTCATAGATTGGAGGGAGTCAATCAGTTCTATCAAATTACCATAAGAAGAGGACACTCTATGATGATACAGGCACTAGTGCATTCATGTGAGATGTATGAACCTTGCCCAATGCAGAATGGAGATGAGAGGATGGAGATACCCCTATTCTCTCATGTCTCATTAGCAAAGATCAGAATTCATGAGACAGAGGCAGTGAGCATGGCTCTCTGAATAAATATTGTTCAGCCATGAAGTAAAGCTCATCTGTTGAAGAACAACCACCACCAATGCAGTGCAAGTCATTCCTACCCTGGGGCCAAACACAATGATAAAGAATGTGGAAATTTAAATCATATGAAGATGTGGATGAAAAAGTGTTGCCAGAGTCTATATGAAGCACCAAATGTTGCTCTCAAGACAAGAAAAATGGGGGTTCATTTCTTGCTCTTGAGTACCTAAAATGAAGTGTGGAACTACTTAGTGGTATCCAAGAGTTCCTTACTAAACGTATATATTGATAACATTGCTATGAAATTATGGACTCTTTTATTCTTTGATTCAAAGAAGAGATGGAAAAAAAATAAATCAAAAACAGATTTCCCTGAAAAATTCCCTATAAACAGGTTGGTAAGGTTACCTTGGAAGATAGTGTAAATTCAAATCCTCTATCTCAGATAAACAAAGTCTTTGTTAGGCAGGATAGATGACCTAACCATGAATCTACTGAGTAAAAATAGGAGGAAAAATTGAGAGGAAAGTGGCCCTCCTACCTGCTACTCCTTTGCTTTGCACTAAGCCTTATTTGTTAAACAGTTGGTAAATATACTTGAAGGTTTGAGTTTAACATTGAAGAAGGGCAATTACTGAATTCTGGTGGGGCTCAGGTATGTGGGAACATCCATCTATTCAGTATACTCAGGAGAATGTGCTCTGGAGATGTCCACAAGCAGGAAATAAAAACTCACCTGATCCTCAGGCCCTTTACTGGAACCTTCATCGAATCCACAGGCAACAGCATATGGTGGGAATGGTTCTGACCAATATGCCTCCTGTGTACAGTTTCTCTGAAGGAAGCCTTTAAGGGTGAAATATATCAGAGAATGAATCACAAGTTTTGTTTTGTTTTGTTTGTTGTTGTTGTTTTTATTTTTTGACAAGAAAAAAACATTTATATTCCTACTTTGATTCATAAGTTAGATACTTGCAGGTGTAGTCACATTTAGCAAGATTAGCTACAGAGAGTTAATTATTTATCTATCATTTGAAACATTAATACAGATGTTCCCATTCATTTTTTCTGCAAGTTCAATCTTCACACAGAGTAAACCAAATTATGCAATCTATCCTGTACTTACAACATAATCTGTTAGGGACAAAGTCCTCAGCCACCTGACTTAGCTTTGAAGTTAGATTTGATTTTTTGAATTTGGTCCTGCTCTGACTGGAAGATTAGACTAGAGGACCTCAAGAAGTCCTTTCTAACATCAATTATTCATGATTTCATAAGTCAGTGATTCTATAATATACTCCATTATAACCTCAGCAACCTAGTGCAATTACCTATATATTTTAGACAACGAAGGAAGTTAGACAATTCAGTACAGCATAACACCACACCAAAAATTGTCAAATATCCACCATAAGCCAAGATGTATATGTTTATCTACATAATTACTCTGTGTCAGGTCACATAAGATAGCTTTGTGAATCATGAAAATATGCAAGTTACTTGATCTTGAACTATTAATTTTGTTTTCTAAATATCTAGGGATCAGATGAATAGGAAAAATGTCTTGCCATGGATATTGGTGATTTCTTCAAAAAATCTCGGACAGGGAATTTTAACCATTTCCCCAAAAGCAGCTCTGGGCCAACAGCTCAGACCATCCCAATCTCTGGTGCACCCTGGAAAGAAAAAAAAAAAAAAAAAAAAAAAAAGAATCATAGAACCACAGAATATCCTGAGATGGGAAGGACCCACCAGGATCATCCAGTCCAATTTCTGTCTCCACACAGAACCAGCCAAAAATCAAACCATATGTCTGTCTGAGAGCATTGTCCAAACACTTCTTGAACTCTGGCAGGCTTGGTGCCTTGACTAAATCCCTGGGCAGCCTTTCCCAGTGCCCAACCACCCTCTCAGTGAAGAACCTTTTCCCAACACCCACCTTGACCCTCCACTGTCCCAGCTCCATGTCGTTTCCTCAGGTCCTGTCGCTGTCCCCAGAGAGCAGAGCACAGCGCCTGCCCCTCCGCTCCCCTCGTGAGGGAGCTGCAGGCCGCCATGAGGCCTCCCCTCAGCCTGCTCTGCTCTGGGCTGAACAAATCAAGGGACTTCAGCCACTCCTCTTATGTTTTCCCCTCTAGATCCTTCACCGTCTTCGTGGTCTTCCTTTGTATGCTCTCTTTTCTGTCCTTCTTATGTTGAGGTGTCCTAAACTGCACACAGCAGTTGAGGTGAGGCTGCACCAGAGCAGAGTGGGACAATCATTTCCTTTAACTGGCTAGCAATGCTTGATGCACCCTAGGATACAGTTGGCCCTTTTGGCTGCCAGAACAGATTGTTGACTCATATTCAACTTGTCTTCAACCAGAACCTCCAGATCCCATTCTGTAGGTCTGTACTCCATCCTTTTGACCCCCCAGTTTGTACATACATCTAGGGCTGCCCCTTTTCCCAGGGGCAGAATCTGACACTTGTTCTTGTTAAAATTCATATTGTTTGTGATTGCCCAGCCCTCTAATTTGTCTAGGTCTCTCTTCCAGGCCTCACTACCCTTGAGAGAGTCAACAGCTCGTCCCTGTTTAGTGTCATCTTCAAACTTAATAAATCTTCAAGTCCTGTATCATCAGGCCTCTGGCCTGATGTGACCCCATTTACTATAACTCTTTGAGTCCATCTCTAAAGAAATCTAAATAAAGGAATACACACAGAACATCACACACCTGATCTTCCATAATGAGATTGTCTATGGCTTTCTCACTAATTCATGTGCATGAAGAAGAGTCACAACAGACCATGAAGCTCTACAAATGAAGAACTGTGTTGCTTTCTTCTACTCCTTGAGTGTATCATCCCTCACATACACACTTCTACATTATCTTTTGAGAGAAAATACATTAAATTCAAACAGACACACTCTGAAAGTCTAATCAGCTACAGCTCTTTTTATTGTCAAAAGTCAAGAAAATGAAAATATGGAATAATTATAAGCTCTTGAGATTTTTTTTATTAATGCTTTCAGTCAAATGAAAATCATCCAACTTAAAAACTCAGCTTCCTGACTTCACTCTTAAAGTCTATCAGTTTCATTTGACTTAAAGAAAAAAAAAATATATATGGATATATATATATATATGGGTTGAAATCCTTGTCTTAGTCAATTAACAAAATTTGGCAGTGAATTCAGGGATTAGATTCATCCTGAAGCAGAAGAAATTCTCCCAGCATCTTCTGAAATAATCATAAATGGGAACAGATCTGGCTGGTTGGCAGTTATGAGGTTCCTTAAACCAGAGGTTGTTTGCTGAAGATACAGGGCAGTTAATTAACTATGCATCCAATAAAAAGTGTTTTCAGAAGTTATAGTCAATCACACCTTTGTCACTGATGCATCACATTGACACTCAAGCTGCAGTCATGCTGTGTCAGTTGTCAGGCAGGTGTGGGTGAAGTACAGAAAAATTATCAGCATGTAAAGGTGCCTGAACCAATAAAAAAGCACCATGCTGTAACAGAAACTAATCTCTAGGTAGTCATAAGGCAGATATAAAACAGTGCATGAGTTTCATTTGGGAGGTGTTATTTTCCTTCACCGATTCTTTTCTGTTTCCTCTGTGACTGATGACAAGGCGAATCTAAAATTGTCAAGAGCTGAAATGTGGAAGCAATATTACTTGCCTGTAGCCAAGCAAAGTTACTCTCTGGCTTCTGAAAGAATAGTCCTGAGAATCTTCCACAGGATTATCCTCACATCACCTTCAGAAGGATGAAATTCCTGGTATCCCCAATTTGCCAGATGGGAAAATAGACTGATTCATTATCTCTAATTTTAATTGTCTGAAATATGTTAGCTAAACTTAGCTATGTCCCCCCTGTAATCAGCAGAAAGAGACAGGGACTTCTAGTGGATGATTCATCCCATATATCGGTGTCTCCTTTTTGAGGACAGGATGAATCACTCAGTGCATGTACCTAGGTCTCTCTGATGATTATAGACTAAACTAGGCTGCTAATTTTCAAATGAATAGTTAGGTAATGGGAGGTCCACATAGACTTGGAACCCCACACATTTTAAGAGACTTAAAGAGTTCCTCTAAGAAGCACTAAAAGACTTCTAAGGAACTGAGTCTAAAAATTTAACCTGTTTAACAATGTGGGGTTAAATAACAGAATTAGGTGAACTTATCTGAGAGCGGGACCTGGATGTTTTATCTTCCAGAGTGGGTGGACTTCATTTCCAATAACTTCTATAGTTGATTGAGAAAGCACTGAGTGCAAAGTCAGCAAGAACATTTCACATGCTGAGGTTTTCAAGACACTAACAAATGGCTAAATCATCTGAGACTCCATAAAGACAAGTGCAGTAGGAATCCTATGAAGTAATGTTGACATCATAGATATTTAAGTCTGCTTCAGACACCCAAAACTCTTTAATTTTTTGTTGTTGTTGTGTTTTGTTTTGTTTTGTTTTCAAAGGAGAAAAATAAGCATTTTTAGAGCTTGATTCAATTGACCTATTTTACACATGAACTTCAAGAAGTGAGGAATTGCACCCTTGACTCACTAAGGACACTCATTAGACACCACTCCATACAGTGAGGATAATGACTAATGACTTTAGATTAAAACTCTGCAACACAGAATAATTCTGCCTCTGATTCTCTGAGAGTGCTGGGAAACAACTGTACAAATTGTGGTCTTTAATTTTGTCTCATATGCAATTCCTGAAAACTGAAAAACATCCAGAGACTCTTATCAATCTGAAAAAAGTTTTAGAACACTCTAGATAACATAAACTAGGGTTTTTAAAAAACCCTAGATGAATTGTTTTTCCAGATCTAATGTTTCATTTTTGAATATACTGAGAAAGGCTGCAAATACCAGAACAGATTTTCATTAAACTCTTTCCCTCGGTATAGAACAAAAGGTGGAAAGGGGATCATTGAGAAAATCACAGTTGACAAGGTTCAAGATTTTTAAATAGTTTAACAGAAGTTTCAGGATTTTATTTATTTATTTATTTGCATGGCCTTTGCTACAAAGAGGATTCCAAAATCATATAATTTTTTTCCTGGTAAAGAGAAAAATATCTGGAATGTCATACTGTACTTTTCAAAGACAAAATGCTTGTAATAAATCATGATGGACAAAGCTTGATTGTTGCCAGAATTTTTGCGGAGTGTTAGTGGGTGTTCCAAGTGTAAAATGTATCCAGGAGGTATTTTGGAGTTGATTAAAGAAGGTGGAGGGGTGAGGAAAAAATAACACTGAAATAGAACGGACAAGAACAATGCCAGATACCAGAGTGACTGGACAGGCGTCAGAAAAATACATAAGATAAAGGACGTATCCTGAGATTTAGTCTATAAACTTCTGTAGGCTTCTAAAGGCAGGTTTCCAGGTGGTTGCAATACTTCCATTCATACCAAGTGCATGAAGCACCTTTGTCTCATAACTCATCTCTAGAAAATGTCCATCTGATAATTTATGATAACTGAAAGGCAGTTTCAATCTTTTTTTAACCAAAGTTGACCATAAAAAATGGGATTGAGTTTTTGAAAGAGTTTGGACATTTGATATTTCAATTTGAACCGATTAAAAGCAGGCCTCTAGAATGCTGGAACCAGAGTAAAGAGATTCCCTTCTACAGCATTTTAAAAATATGTTACAGAAATGCTGAAATGTTCATTTTAACTTACAAAATTTATATTTGGACATATAATAGATTTCAAAACACTATTGCAATAAGCAATTTAAAACAAACAAACAGAAAAACTCCAAATATGTAGAAATGAGATGTTTTGAAGACGTTGGGATCATTTTTTTTCTTCTCATTTCTTCTGGAAAATAACTTTTTCACCAAATTGGAATGTTTTTCAACATAATAAAATTTCTGCATTTTTTTTTTCTGTATTCTGTAGAAGCTTCTTTGGGGTTTTGGATATAAGTACATATAAAATACTTTAATGACTTAAAAAAATATATCCAAATATGATTTTCTTGCCTGAAATAGACATTTAAAGTTTTCAGAGTCTGAACTAATCATCTTAGCCTCATTCCATAGTTAGTAAAGAGAAATGTGATTTCAGAGAATGATTCATCTCATCCTAAAGTAAGCATCTAAGGCAAAGGCAATGAAAATTTTTCTAAGGACACCCACCTTTCTCCATTTACTTTAAGGGAATCTAAGAAGACACATCCTGACATTGAGCATTTACAGACATCTAAAATCAGATGAGGTAAAGCTGCATCCAATAGAAGGAGAAGCACTTCAAGCCAAATAAAATAGGGTTGTGGAATCAAATTTGATTCAGTAACTGGTATCTTCACATCACACACCTGAAGTGATACAAGAGATACTAATATCAGAACTTGTCAATCAAGACCGTTACCTTTAAAATCAGATGAAACAGATTCATTCTTTTCTAGGCAGAGTGCCTCCTCTTTCACGACTTGCTGGAATATCTTGCATTCTGGATGTATTCCCGCAACCTCAGTGAGACAAAGAAAACATAACCAAGAAGTTCTGTGATTACCAAAGTGAACAGAGCCTTTTTTTTTTTTTTTTTTTTAACTGCAAATAGGAAATGTAAATAGCAGAAGGATAGACAAAGGGAAAAGAGGCTGTGATCTTGTGCATGTATCAATTTATATACATGTGTGCGTATGCATATACATTTTTTTTTTCTGTCCACCATATGAGTAGCACCTTTTTTCTAAGATGGATTATTATCTTTTTTTTTTTTTTTTTTTTACCAACTCCTTTTTATGCCTATAATTTTCACAAAACTTAAGTGGATTTTGCAGTCTTTGGAATTTCACAATCTTTGGATTTCCACCTCTTTGTCAAATGGCCAATACCGGATAATAAGAGCATGAGCTATTGGAATCAGGGTTCCCCAAACATACATACCTTCTGACCATATGCATGCTTCTTCTCCATAAATCAAAAATAAGTAATTTTCTTTAAACATAAATAGATAATTTCTTAGTTAATTATTTTGATTAATAACTCTTGCGAGTTATTTTTGAATTATTGGGAGTTTCATGGCAGTGTCTTTTTTATTCTTCAGGAGCAGGTACCCACTTTTCTTTTTTTTTTGATGCTGAGACTGACAGAATTGGTTCCCCATTTTCTCCAAGACTTTGGGATGACAGTGCTATACAAATCACTCTACTGACAGACATGGTCTAAGCTCTTCCCTTCTGAATGAAGTTGGTATAATTAAAAAGGAAGAAAAGAAAGAAGCCATAGGAAGGAGCAGATGTCTGTCCATTCAGACTTAAATAAATAATATTAAAGTCCAAGAATTTAGAGAAATTAAGAAAATTGTAGCCATGATCATAGTTCATTCTAAGTGATTACATAACTTTATCACTTTACTTTCTGAGGATGCAGAGTTGGTACACAGAGACATTGTTTCAATTTCACCAAAGGAAGAAATTAAAAAATATATATAGGCATGATTCACTTTTGGAGCTTATGGAATTATTTTTATTTCTCAGATGAAGATAACTACATTTAACCAGTTAAATGGACTTCTAAACATCACCAGTGTTGTTTACTAGGGTCTAGATACAGCTTCTTAAATACAAATAATTAGTGTCATTGAGGTATTGTCATGTATTTTACTTGGCCTCCATCTCACACTCTGGAAAGTTTCAGGGTCCTTCAGTCATATTTGTTGTCATTGTGAAAATATTCTTAACAACCTCAACATTCTGAAAATGATAGCAGGTGCTTCTTTAGGGACAATTAAATTCTGAGAAATTATCTACAATGTCAGTGTCTACATGAGACCTTGTTATCTGAGTTTCTTTTGCAGTCAATAGAAATTTAAAGGATGTTTCACTCACCCTGGGATGGTTAATGACATTTGTGTTCATATAGGGTATCCCAGACCTCTTGTGTAGGTTTGATATTAATTTTGCCAGCCCCATGACAAAGTTTCAGACGCTATGGGTTGTTTTAAATAGTTCCACACACACATATTTAAGCAACAGAATTAACCCCCTCAGTCATTAGAGCTAAGAGAGTCTAGAAAGTAACTAAACTATGTTCAGACCACTGAACAGAGCACCAAAGCTTCCTCTGGCTATTGTGGGATTTTCAAGACATGGAGTCTTACATGGAAGAGAGCAGAGGGTTTGCTCCTTTGCAAGATATACTATTCAAAGCAAAGCCAGAGGCTCTGGGGATAGTGATTTTAATTGTGGTGATGGATTGAAGGCTTTCTGAGATATTTCTGAGGGAGACTGTAGGCCATTCTAAACCTCTAATGACTTTGAAAACACAGTGCAGATGAAAACATCACTGCTATATTGCCTTTTCAGTCACTGGAAGTTGATTTATTGGCCTTCAGAATGTTTAGTGAGCAGTGCAGCCAGGACTTCTTTTAGCATCAACTGAAAGTGACTGGAAGTTTTGTAGACTATTACATTTTTATAATAATATCTGCCAGGGGGTGTGGGGTGGGGGACAAAAAGCAAAAAAACCAACAAATAAAAAAACTTTACCTTCAAAAACTTCAAAATTTTTATCAGTATTTGCATTTTAAAGTAGCATGGACAAAATGCATTTAATTATAAAGCCCTAGACATGGTTCATACATCCTAATATTAGAACAGAAAGAGGATTAAGGACACTGCATGAAAAGAAAATTAAGACATGGATTTTTTTCATGCATTTTATCTCTCCAGTGGGCAATTTTAAATACAGTTTATAAACCAGCATGAAGGATTCTTAAAATATCTCGTGCTGTTCATCTGTAGTAACTCTACTCTGAAATGTAATTTTTCAGGTTTTAGTGTGAGCCACATTTATTGCTTATCTTTTAAAATACATTTTGGTTTTCCTACATAACAAGCAAATATTTTGAGTAGTAGTAGCAAAATGATTGTTAACAAAAAGTCCCTCGTTATTTCTACTTATAAGGATGGATTCAGCTGGACAGGAAACAAGTCTTTTTTTGTTTGTTTTGTTTTCTAGAATTCCTGGACTCTGTTGATGTTGATGAGAAACTTTGTATATGGAATATTCTTAGGCTTGGTGTTTAAAAGTCACAACAACTCAACATGATTTATACAATTACCATTTATTTTGAGTCCTTTGGCAAAATGCTTGAAAGCACTGACCAGTCAGAGACCAAAATGAATTCAAAACCATTAAAACAGATTTGAAATGCCTTTGAGAAAAAGCGTTTGGGATACATGGGTTAACTTAAGGTTCCTCTTCATGCCAGAGGTGCCAGGAATGAAAAGCAGACACGTAATTGAAAGGTTTCAAAAGAGGAAGCAATATATTTTTCCAAAGGCAAACTTAAGCAGTGCGTGCAGCAGTTGCAGGTGTAACACATATGAGGGACTGAGCAACTGTACTCTGCTAGATGCATTGTCAAAGAGGCAGTATGTGTGTCTTTTCCCTCCTTTGATAAATCCACACCTGTTGAACCAGATTATCAGTCACTATAACCCAGAACTGCACTGAAACCAGTGGAGGGCAATTCATTTGCATTGGCTGGGAAGCCCATACTCTACCCACAGGGAAGGTGTGTGTTGAATTTCCACAAGATAGAGGAACTGCCATAACAGATCAGATCCTTTGACCATGTAGTCCAGCCCTCTGCCTCCAACAGCAATGATTAATCATCAGAAAACATGATTTTAGGATTTTCTCTATAACAACTGTTGCTGATACTCACCAATAGTGAGATTAAACACAATGCCACTAGTGTTGATAGCTTAGCAATTAATAAGTATATATAAATTTGATTTGATTTTGGGGTACTGGATTTGGTGTGCCAGTGACTGTAGCCATTAGAAACCAGAACTTTTGTTATAGGCCGGAGAATAGATTAAATATTTCTGACAGTTAGAAAATCAAGATCAAGTGTAATTACAGAGGTAACCTACAGCCTACACTGTAAGAATCAAAAATGAGGCTGGTTTTGTTAACAGACAATATTGTAGCTTATTGGAAGTAATCCCACTGTAAAATAAATAAATAAATAAGGAAAAAATGACACATATACAAGAAATTTAGAACAGTGATGATGCTTCAATTTGTTGGTTTTCCTCTGGCTTTAAGAAAAAGACAACCATTAAGCCATTTTACAGTTAAAGGAAAGCCTTCTGGGCAGAATATTATTTGTGATTTGTTGGCTAAGGTTTACTTATTTTTCTTATTTACTTATTTGCTTATTTTTTCTTATTATTCTCACAGTGCCTTGAGAGAAAAGTGCCTGTTGTTGCTCTAACTTGCTTCACCAGGTCGGGGACACAGTATGGCAATGTGGGAGGCATCTGATGTAATCACTGAGCTCTTGTAGGAAAAGAGCAGCTCTTGTTCACCTTAGAAAGGGGTAATTTAGGAACCAAAGTAAGGGTGCCCAATCTGACACAGTCTTCACTGCTGTGGTCATAATTCAGAGGCTAATTCAAAATGCTGCTTCTTGAATCAACATTTCCTACTGGCAAGGCAGCAACATGGCATTGACCTTACTGAAAACCACATTACAGGGTGCCTTCACCCTGAGAATTATACAGAAAGCTTAGGGTTTCATGCAGTATTGTGGACAGCACTCAAGGAATGAGGCTTTGCATTGCTGAGCTACACTGAGATCTTTTTGCAGTCTCAAACTTTAGTGACCAACCAAAATTCACAGTGGTGTCTTAAATCTAAGTCCTAACAACTGAAACAATATTGCCTGGAAAAAAAGCAATCATAAGTGAACATTAAAAAGTTGTATATGACAGAAGCGGGCATGCTTAAACCCTGAGACAGCTTATAGAGCCAGATGTTAGATTTGTACTTACTTTTGAACTTAATTTTATTAACATCCATAAGGATACTGCATTGAAACCTTGAGCCGTACACTTACTGATGGTAAGAAGCATAACCTTGTTTTCTATTTCCTCTGTATTTTCATTTGTTTGCCCAAACCGAAAATTCACGCTAATGACACTTCAGGCTTTAATTTTCTTGTGTTGGACAAGGCCAGATTTAGTAAGCTCAGGGAAGTAAGTATTTTTAGCAACATCCTAATGCCATACTTAGTGCAGATTAGTTAAAAGCAATTGTTTGTGAGAGCCTGTAAAGAGATGGTGCCCTCAGACTGTTCTGATAGAAAAACTGTAATTTAGACATCACATAAAGGACAGATCTTCACTCATTAAAAAGTCTATTAGCACACTTGGGAAAAAGAAGGGACATTTTCTATGCTCTCTGAAAACAAGGGAAGTGCTTCAGAGTTGGACATCTTTTGAAAAAGAAATTCATACTTTTGTAAAAGAAATTCATACTTTTGTAAAAGAAATTCAGTGGGTTAAAAAAAACAGGAATGAATTGGTAACTCTTAGTCATTTTGAAAAGTAATAAAAATGGAAGAAGTAGCTGAATGAAGAATTGGAAAGATAGGAACATTTCGAGAACTTGAAGTGTATTTCCAGTGATCTGGTTAAGTTTCCAATGCAGTGGAAGCCTAAACCCACACTAACAAGTTCTGCATCTAGTGCATAAATCATTTACTAAGAATATTCATAATATTCATCACTATTTTTTTTCCCTCTGTCTCCACAGTTTGAATTCATCTCTCAGATCTCATCTCCTCTGAAGTCATCTCTGTACTCCCTGCTCTCCATGTCTGGGCTTCTCCTGTTCAGCTTTTTCTGTTATGACTTTGATGCCCAAATAGTTTCTTCTCCATATTCAAACAAGAGTTGTCTGCCACTCATGTCATATAGACTCTCAACTGGGAGGATTAAAACTCACTTGCTATTTGAAGTACAGAAGAGCACAGCAAAGACATGTGAAAATCATGCATTCCCTGACCTTTTTTAACTGTGCACTGGTGTGTTCATTCATTCATAAGCTGGCTGTTTTTACCAAAAACACAGTCCAAAGAAGAAAATGCTCTAAAGCGCATGCTTTTTTTTTTTTTTTTTTAAGTTGAAATGTTGATGAACACATCAAAGTGATGTGTTCAACATGAAAATGTTGAACATTTTTTATGTTCAACACAAAAAAATCTGAATACATGTCTGTTCACTGAAGAAGTCCAACAAATCCCCAGCCATTTTCATGAGCTTTATCTGTTGAACATATCTTATGAAAATCTTCCATAACACTTGTCCTTGTCCACCTGTTTCACTCCTTTCTCAAAAAGCCAAATACTAATTAGAAAGTTTTAAAATTAGGAACCATATGTCATCCAAGTCAGGGACAATTTTCCCGTTTGAAAAGAGCTAAGACAAACCTTGAGCTTCATAAACTCATGTTTAAGCCATGTCAGTTTAACTACATTCACAATCACTGAAGTAAGGATATTCCTATTCATTGTGACCTGTAAGCCATTATGCAGTATTATAATACAATATAGGCAGTATTCCATTCTGTCAGAAAACTTGAAGAAACTATTAAAAAATAGCCAAAATTTCTTACACAGCAAAAAAGCCCAATGCTTAAATGTGCTTGGAAAAAACAGTGAGTATCCACCTTTTTTTTTTTTTTTTTAACTGCCGTATCCAAGCCATGTTTACCACTCCTGATTCTGACTGACTGTAAAGCATGAGGTCACCACAGCAGTGTCATGACTCCATCGTATTTAGTTATCATAAAAAATCCTGCCCTTAACTTGAAAGTTCTGACAGTCTCGATCCCCAAAGCTTTTAACCCCAAAGGTAAAGGCCTATTTCCAATCTTTCTCTTCAGCCAGTTTAAATAGATTATTCCAGGAGTCTTTTTGGCTGAAAATGACTACCTAGAGGACATTTTCACTGTTTGTTTCCTCTTTCTAACTCTATTACCTATGGAACAAGAAAAGATGAGATACTGATTGCCTTACAGTCATTTAGAGGAATATCTTTTCAAGATTGTTTTTAAGAAATTGGAGTAATGTTTGAATGCTCCTCTGTGTATTGGATTGTATTTATCTGACTGTATTTAACCACATAGCTTTATACAGAGCAGTACTAGCTGCGCATACATATCTGTGTATACCAGTATATGTATTTACTCATAGATAATTCTCTATGTGACAATTCAGACATACTAATTTATTTTGTTTACAAACCCAATGTAATTAATATTATCTTGAAGAAAATTAAAATGAATGCATTAGCTCTATAAGCTTGTTAGAGCATTTAATTTCTTAACTAATAATGCCACTAATATTTACAGAATAAAAGCACCCTAATAGCCAAGGATCCTTCCTTTTGCTATCTCAAGTGCCCATATTAAGGTGATATTTCTCCCTTTCCATATGTGTAGAATGTTTGCCTAAGGCTGGGTCTCATGTCACCAAGTTCCAGAAAAATGAAACAGATGTCAGAGACCATCAGCAAGCTCACTCAACCAAAGCCATAGCCATTGTTCTTGGAGTGTTCCTACCCTTTCCTAGTAATATTAAAGGAGTCTAAACTAGTAACTTTATACAAGATTCCTAATTTTAGACAGATAATTTTAGATGATTAATCTAAACTCCTCCATCAAGCCTCCCTTAATAATCAATGAAGGCAGACAGGCAGTTCCAGGGGAGGATTCCTCCCACCTCTCTCAGACACCCGTTTGAGGACACAGTGACTCATTATACAGGAGCCTGTCTCCCTCCATTAACTCACTCCAGGAGAACAAAATGCCTGAGCAGACGGATCCTTCCACACCTCCACTTGCCTGTGGAGGGGAACCTAAGGTATGCAGACACTGAATCCCTAGAAGAAGCACATTTATCCCTTAAATGAAGATTGAGTAGTGACTCTATCTGGAATTTAAGCCAGCCCAAATCTCTTTTACTGGGAACTTAGCACCTTGCTATGGACTTGAATCCATGTGCCTGCTTGCTATGGATGTAGATCCATATGATAACCCATCTATGCTCCCTCTCACCTCCATTCTTCAAACAAGGCGGAAGCCCTTCTCCAGAAATGTGAAAAGCTTTTAAGTGTTTGGAGATGAAAGCACTTTAGTTCAGCAGGAAGGATGACAAATACAGAGTCTTTTCAGCTCCCCATCCACTGTTTCCTGAGACTGAGCTCTTTAAGACAGGAAAAGTCCTTTTTATGCATTTCAGCACCCACAGCTCTCAGTTGCTTGTCACTTACAAGCAAATGGTAATTTTTAATGCCAAGGACTCTATTCTCCAATGCAGAAAGTACATCCTGCATCATACAGCTCTCTGGGGAGCTGACAGGAGGTAGAAGTACCTAGCTTCATAGAGGAAGTTTTCAGGATTATTTCAGGATTATCTTTCTGGTTTATTTTCTTATCCGAATGAAGAAATATTTGGAGAATCTGCACTAGATTTTTTTTTTCTCTGATATGACCCTTTGACATGTGAAAATACCGTTTACTCAAAACATCCAGTGGGGCTCTGGCTTTTCCTGGCTGTCTGACTTAGAGTCCAAACCTTCCCAGCAGACCAAGTCTGAGACTTGAAAAACAATGAGATTTAGATCACTGACACTTACCAGAAATGCAGTTGGTGTTCATATGTAAGCAATAGTTTGATGCCAAAAGCTACTTGGAGCATGCAGTTTTCCAAACAGGAATTCCTCTGCTCTCATCCCTTCTGATAAGTAATTTATTATGGGCATAGACTGCTGCACTATGCTAAAATGTTAAAATGTGTGGCAGCCCACAGATGTGCATGATACATCATTCCAGGTTAGCTCCACTCTGCAGACATCTGAAAGAATAAGCTATGCATCTGATATGTGTAAAAGGGCTAGTCCAAATGCCAAAGTCACTCTACCTGTAGAAGTGTAATGCTGCAGGCTGACTAGTTTGCCCTGAATAAAAACTGTATGTAACAAGATTTGTGTAGCAAGATTCTATATCTTAACACATGTAAATAAAGCTGTTTAAACACAATGAAAATCCAGTGTTCCAAAAGATTCACATCTGGTGCTGGTGTGAGAATTTGCCTCCTGTCTTTCACCTTATTAAAGAGAAGGGTCAAGTCCGGTCTGTAACCCTTTAGACTGCTGTTATCGTCAATGGGAGAGAACAGGCTTTATAGGAATATTTGCCCCATCTATCCTTCTCAGGACAAGAGGAAATCCTTCCAGGGAAGGCGACTGACTCCACATTGAGTACAGAGGGAGTCTGAATCCTAGCCTACACTAAACATTCAACTGTGAAATGGCTAAAGTTAGAATTAATGAGTCCCCAGGAATCGCACCCAGGAAGGTTCCCAAACAATTCTTTGAGGCTAAAGATGTAGGAGAAAGAGGAGATATGGATGTACTTACACCTACACCTGCTTTTGCTAATCAGTGCAGGCAAAACCAGCAGTTGGCATTGGGCACAGGAGAGATATACATGTTTGAATTGCATCTCTGTGCCCATACATCTTCCCTGATGTTTAACGTTACAGTCTCACCTGCTGCCTCCAGTGCACAGCAGACACAAGATGGTTCAGGCTCCTGCTTGGTGGCATTATAAGCAGCTGCCTTCAGCAGTAAAAACATCAGTGCCCTCTCACAGAAGTAAATGTCCCAAATCCATCAGGAGGAAGTATTCCCTTCTAGTTAGCCTCTCTCTTCAGCAAAGTTACCTTTCTCAGGACAAGACAAGAAGCAAGCTATCCCCTCCTGTCCCTCTAAAGATATGCTACAGCTACTCTGATCTAGGGATGCTTTTCTGTCCTCTGGAAACTGCAGTTCTAATGAATGGAAACTGAAAGAGATTTATTAATAGCATCATAGGGTTGGAAAAATTAAAGAAAAGAGCTGGGTTAAATCTGTAACTCTGGAATACGTTTTCTATTTTTATTTCCTTCCCCCCGCCCTCTTTTTATTTATTTATTTTTTCTTTTCATTTTTTCCCTTCCTTCAGCCTGCTCCCTCTTCTGACAAAAGTTACCCTGCCTCTGTGGACGACCCTCCCCGGGACCCTGCGGGGTAGTGGCAGAGCCATCCAGCTGTGGCCAGCTGTGTGGGCAGCCTGATGTGCGGTTTCCCCGGACCACCCCCGGCACCCAGAGCAAGGCAGAGATGCCCAGGGAACCCCTTCCCCCGGGGCCGCCGCCGGACACTCACCAGGGGGAGCAGCAGCCAGCACAAACTTCGCATCCTCTGCAGCATCCTCCGGGTCCTCCCCGCTCCCTCTGCCTCCTCTGAGGCTACCAAAAGCCGATGCTCAGCCCGCCCCCACCTGCCCAAGACCCGCCCCGGAGCTCCTTGCACCTCCTTTCCCCGACCCCCGGGTCCCTCCTGGGGATCCCGACAATTGCAACTTTTCCTCCCGCACCTTCCTGCCCCGCAGGGCCAGGCTTGAGATTCCCCTGGGATTTTGGACCCACCTCCGTGAACCTGGCATCTGCAAAACTGTAGGGGGCTGGAGCACCAGCTGGTCTTTAAGGGTGTATTTGGAGGCAGATGCTCCCCGTTCGAGAAGAGATGCTGAATTCACCTCTCCTTCTGTTTATCATCAGCCTGTGCTTGCAGCCGGTGGCAACAGGTTTTCAAAGGAGCAGCGTTTCCAGTGGGTCTGGCAGGGTGGCATTTCCTGGGTCCTCTGCAAGAGGGAGTTTAGTCTCCCTTCTCTCAGGTGGGAATTTCAAGCAGTGACAAGGGATTTCATTTGCAAGGGGATTTCCTTTGCAAGGTCTTTCTGGCTCTTTTGCATAAATTTGTCTCAAAACTAGCTTTATTTATGGGTGCAGTGGGTAAAGAGTAAAGTCTTTCCTACAGTCTGCTTCTTTAGGGGTAGGAGGGAGTGAGGGAAGAAGAAAAAGGCAAAAAATTATAGCAATTTTTAAATGTCAGGGTTCATAGAACCTAGACACCAAATCTGGATTTTGCCACAGTAAATATTAAACCAAGCTATTCTCAGGGCCCAAGAGAGCAGGAATTATGGACATGGCAGAAGCATTTTTCTTGATGAGATTGAAGTGCTATTTCATATCCCATTTATCATTCATTATTTCCCAGTGGTGTTAAACATAAGGGTTCTGTATAGTCAGAAGAGATTCAGGGTTCTCCTAAGCCACTCCAAAAGAGGCATCTAACACCATTTCTGGAATTGCATATATCTGCAGATTTCTTCATATTTGTATAGATCTCCTATAAGTCCTTTGTCATTTTTGCTAGCTCCATTTAGATATTTCAGATATGCAAGGATACTTTGAGTAACACTTCTTATCTGTGTTTGGGCAACTAAGTCATGTCAGTGATATCTATTAATTTCTCTCTTTGCACTCTGTTAATCCTGACCAGATCAGTCTCTGTTGTAATGGGGAATATGTGGATTGTTATATTAAAATGCTGACATGTTTAGTGTCATGATGTACTTCTCCTTAGACTTGGAAATCAACAAAGTTTGGATCTAAAATCAAACAGTAACCCCAGGCTTATGTTAGAGAGACAGTCAAACCTACAACCTGTGCATGATAAAGAGGGGGATGAAAGCAGAAATTCGTAGGATAACATTGGTAACCCAATTCTCATTTACCTCCTCTTTCCTATGTGTTTGTCTTTTATTAGTGCATAATAACACCTGTTCAGATAAGCCTCGAACACTACATCAAAATCAAGTTTGTTATAAAACCAAGTGATTAAACAACTCAAAAAAATCATTTTAAGTCTTATTTTGACAGTTTTCCTCATCTCTAGAGAATGACAAAACTTTGACCAACTCTTACTAGTCAGTAAAGTAGTTCTCATTCTAATGGAAAAAAACATAAAATAAATAAAAACACATTATATAGAATCATTAAGGTAGGCACCACATAATATCATCGGTTCCTATTCTAAGAGTTACAAAAGAAAATGCAAAATAGACATCAATCAAATACCCCCAAGATAAAAACAAATGAAAATTCCTGAAAAGAGTATTCAATCAGCTTAAGTATATGAGATCATAGAGTAACAAAATAATTTAGATCAGAAGGCATCTGTGGAGAACCAGCCCCTGCCAACTCCTCACTTTGAAACAGGACAAATTTCAGCCTCAGGTTAAGTTGCTCAGGGACTTTATTGCTGTATTTATATATGTATGTATATATATGTGTGTGTGTGTGTGTGAGAGAGAGAGAGAGAGTCTGTGAATATGGAGGTGCAATTAAATAAATATCAACATGACATTCCAATCCAGAATGTTTCAGTTACATTCCATTGTTTAAGGCCTCTCAGATTACTTTGGTGAGGTCTTTTAGGTTATCAAACCCAGTCTCCCACTGTGGAGCAGAACCAAGTGCAAACCACTTTTGTGGTTTTGTTTGCTTGCTTGTTTGTTTTTCAGGAGAGAAAGGGGAGGGTAGTATCTTGACATGGGTGGTCATAAGCAGTCCTCAGGAGAAGGCATTGGTCTCTCTGTGCTTTCTTCTTCCTAGATTTCCTCTCTTGCACCTGTTTTTCCTATCTGTTCTCCAGCTGATCTACAAAACAGGTCCCATTCTAACACCTGAACTTTAAACAGACTAGCTGGAAACTCCTCTTTTTATGAGTTTTTCTCCATGCTATAAAAAAAAAAAAAACAAAAAACAAAAAACAAAGTCTGCTGTCGTTGTTCTCTAACATGTTGATGTAGTTGATGTTATAAAACTCACTTATACACTTATGTATGGGAATCTGAGTTCCTTATTCTACTTATGTCCATTCATTGCTTCAAACTGAGTTTTATTTTATTTTATTATTTTTTTTTGTAGGCTAAAACCTTATTTAGAAATCTAATTTCTGTTTATCACATTCATTTACTTTATTCACTGTACTCTTTGTTATTACTCTACACTTACCCAAAGAAGTTCTAATAATGAAATAACAGAGGAAAGTAACCATATTTCTCATAATCTCTTGCAGGCTCTGATGGAATTTGTTACTTTTTATCACAAAATGGTTCCTCCCCTGATAAGCTTACTATAACCTACTGTTCTACAGCACCAAGCTGGTCTCAGAATATAACTTTGAAATGCATTAAAATGTCCTCTGGTCGGCATTAGAGAGGGATCTAATCATCTTGGCCATATGAAACTTAATGAATGAGGCAATAGACCTGTGATTCTTCACAATCCCCATCATGAATGTTCTGAATCAATTAATGTCAGTTAATGAAAATTACTTGGCATTTACTGAGCGGCTTAGAACCTTTTGTAGGTGCCAGAGAATGTTGCTTTTGATACCATATGCTACCTGCATAAGGTTTTTCCATAACAAAAATCTTTCTGAAATGCAACTGTTTCCTTTGAGTGCATATACAAGCACCTTAGACAACAAAAGTATAGTGCTCCAGAACCACATTGCAATATGAGCCGTCAGCTGGGGAATAAAGGTGAATCTATTGACATTTTAAACAATCTTTTGATGAATCTGGCTAAAACCAGAAAACAAAAAGCCCTGGAAGTATGGGAAGAAGACTGCAATTACTGAAACCATGTAATCCAGCAGTTAGGCAGAACATGACATTAGTGAGTAACATATTGCAACTATAATTAAAAACAAAGCTCCACTGTATTCAGAAAATGGAGGACGTACAGAAAGGATAGAAGTGTTGTTCTTGAGGGTGATTTCTGTGTGATATTTGAGGGGATGGAAAGCAGGAAGATAAAACAGCTGAAGAAATGGGTTGTTGTGGAGATGCTAAATAGGTAAAACATTAAGTATGAGAAAACAAGTACCTAGAGCTGCACGAGGCTGATTTGTCCAACTCAATTTCTTTGTATACACTAGCTGTGTTATCTATTTGCTATTTTTCTTGATGAAAATTGACTCCCACTGTGTCGTGTGATTTTCAATCTATACGTACCCACATTCTGCTACCTTTACCTGGCATGGCTCCAGGGACAGCACAGAAATATAGGCAGAGATGCAGTCCAGTCTTGTTTCCTTTATCTGTAAATATGGTTTGAAGAGTTAATGCTGATTGGTGTCCTGAACTGTGTTGTCTCCTTATTTCTCTGCCCTGTTCATTCTATCCCTATTGGTTCTTGTCTTGTTTTTAGAATACAAGATCTTGGAAGCAAAGGATAAATTACACTTCAACTGCACTTCAACATGGAAGAAATACCATGTGCTGATAGATCCCTCCCAGGGTATGGATGAGGCAAGGGTGTCAAGGGTGTCAAGAACTCTTATAATTCAATATGCTACTAATATGTTGTAGCAATAGGGAGAAACAAAAGCAAAAATAAACAAACAACAAACAAAAAAGCACACACACAAAAAAACACTCATGAAGGAGTTCTTTGGATTTCAGAACTCAGCTTGATGCATATAAAAACCTTCACTGATTCTAAAAAACATAGCACCCTTGTCTCATACTCTCTCACTTCTACTAGTTCCCTCTCCTTTTTGTATCATGGCTGATCTGTTTCTGCAGCTGTAAATTTAGCCAGGTTCAGGAATAAGTCTTTCAGAAAATATTTTTTCCTTTCTTGCATGGTATTTTTCAGACTGATGTTCTCAAGCCTGGTTTTCTACATGGTCTGCAGATACCTCTTCCGGTCCAAGAAAGCATTAACTTAGGGATAAGAATGAGTGGCAGGAAGAAAGAGAATTGTTTCTTTAATTTAAGGATTTAAGGCCAACATTAATTTAAGTGAGCAGCCAACCACAGCCTCAGAGGGCTAGCAGAAGAGCTAAGAATGAGGACCAGCACCAAGCATTGTGCAGATTTGTTTGGACATCCAGCTCTGGATGTGGCGTTCTCAAGCACAAACTGTATGCCTTAATGGACTCAAATTCAGGCCCATTTCCAGTGAAAGACGCTGTACCTCATACATCCCTGGCTGGCAGGAAGCTTGTTGAGCGTGAAGAACATAACATGAGCACAAGCTCACGTTATGTTAACATGAAGATAACTACAAAAATACACTAGACACAGGGCCATGATACTAACACATGTTATGATCAGCTATAACAAGAGTCTCCATGTGCTGAGGTAAATGAACAGCTACATCAGGTTTTTGTAGTAGAAAATGACTTGATATTCCACCCAGTGTGAAACATATAGGTGAATTTTAAATAGGAAATATTTAATGGCATACTTCTGTTCTCTGCATCTAGTCTATCTACTTTCATTTAAGATGCTGTAGGATGTCCCATCTGTACTCCATTTGCTGTCCCAGAATGACCCAAGTATCCCATAGATCTTCTGCCATATCTGCAAGACCAACTTGAATGTCTTGGGTGTCTGAAAAC